GGAGGTACTTTGCCATTGCCATCGCAGCCGCTGTTGCTGGCCCAGATGAGAATGAGGTGCTTCATGTTGTCGTTCCTGCCCAGATCAGATCAGACACGAACCGATTATATGTCCTGTTCGTTGTGTTGGCTTCTTGTTGCCGCTGCTCCTGCCTGGAAGAAATTGCGGCGTGCGTCGCCGATAGAAAACTGACATGTTCGGGACCGATGAATTTCTCCGGGGCCCCTCCCGATCATCATTCGAAGAACAAACTGCGCCCGTCATCTACGCGTCGACCCTTACTGCCGCCGCCACTATCGCTGCCTGTCTGGTCCGTCCTTTATAAGATACAGCGAGTATGCTGACGGTGGCGCCGACTACGACGATCACAGCACCACTACCACAGCATAGGGCAGCCGTCAACTATACGATATACCACGCTCCAGCACTACACCACATCATCCGTGTGGTGCGCGGCAGCTGTTCCGTATGTCTATATCTGCAGAGCATCGCAATTCGTGTTGGGAACGAACGACAAGACGAAACGCTACTATAGCTGCTCCACGCACTGGTCGTGCTTGTGCTGATGGTAGTTCAGGTGACGCCGCTGAGTATCGGAGAAGTGCTGGTCAAGTGGTGGTGATGTTCAGTGTTCCTATAGTATGACTAAGAACAGTGCTGTACGGCGATTACAATCTGTTGCAGGAACGTCGACTACGTCGTTTAGAAGTAGTCGCTATAGTAGTGCAATAGCGGTCGAAACGGGCAAACTGAGTGACCAGCGAACTAACGTCAGGAGTGAGGAGCGACTCCCTTTCGAACGCCAGCGGTAGTAACAACGAAGACGACTGCAGCCACGAATACGACACCTGGCGACTACCAAAAAGGCATTGCAGTCGGTTGTTTCGTTCGTTCGTTCATTCATCCGTCAGTTAGTTGGCTGTAGTAAGAAAAAACTTTGTTTGTTAAGCATAGTGAGGGTGGCAGGTATCGCTCACTCCTGCTTACCGCTGACCACTTACCTGTTACCATCTCCACCATAGTGATCACACCACTGCTGTTGTTATTGCAGCAGCAGCAGCAGCGGATGTGCCGCTGCCACTCACCGTAATATTGTTCAGTGGGCACCGTATTGCGCTGCTGTTTATGCGTCTACCGTGTGTTGTTCCTCAATGTTTTTTCCTCTTCCTTCGCATTTTTCTACTATGGACGTTAACGCTGGCACCTGTCCTGCCGCTGTTGCTGTTAGGAACGATGCGTCTCATCGAGCTAGGCTGACAACTGCAGTTATGGGATGCACCGTCGTGCCTCGCCGTCCCAGTTTCGTCGTTTTTTAACCGACTTCGCCAACGACAGCATCAGCAGCAATTGATGACCATCACTGCCATCTGGCTGAGCCGGGTCTGTCTTATTGGGGCCTCGATTTGCGATTTTACTCTTACTACAGTTACTGCGAGCAGCATTACAATGTCGAAAGGTTACTCGAAGTGCGTGCTGTTCCAGCGTTGCTGAGCGAACATATGCTGGGAAGAACTTCGTAGGCGACGCTAGGCGAAAAACAGCGCAGGAGTGCACCGTTGAGCTGGTGAGAGAGATCATTGTGCGTGAGGTGCTAAACGAGACAGACCGTCGACGACGGAGACAACTCTTCGTGTGTATGCGTGCATTTTTGCGCGACACACAAACATTGAACCGATCACATTCTGTCTGAGAGTCACTACCCGAACGACCCCAGCTATATCTAAAGCTAACAACTACACAGTATTTCTGAAATTTCCACAGTGCTTCTTTAAAATTCGCCAGCGGGTCGCTCTCCTTAACCTAAAGTGGAGTCGAATCGAATTTGTGACGGCGCTTTATTATAGTTGAACGAGTACATCGTCAGCTCACGTCACTGCGAGACGTTGATATTGATTCACGCTTGTATTGGGAGCACGAAACGTGTTTTTATCGTTGCGTTGGTAGCGTTGACCAAGCAGTGTATGTGCATTTCCCGTTCATACGCATATGAATGAGTTTCAAATATGTGTTTCTTACTTATGGATACAACCCGCTTCCTGCATGCAAATAGATACTATATCGAAGGGGTTTCTCATTGCGTAGAACGACGTTGCGTTGCTTATGTGCACTTCTGTATTATGTGAATCGGAAAACAGCGACGATGTGCGAGATCTGGCGCTTTTTGTGAAAATGAGAGCTACTAGGACAAATCTATGCTCGAAGTTCCTTCAGAAGATGAGGAGTGTTCACAGCGACAGTATAATATAACAGAATAAGGAGCTAGTAGTATACGTACGCACACTCAAACCCAGATAGACACCCCGATGAAACAAGCAATAAACGAATACGAGTACGCTACCTTTGTGAACCAGTCGTAACTATACAGAGTAAGTATTGCATTTAGCTACTGGTCAGTATTTCCGTTCGTGATAGCTTGGAGCAGCTTCAGACCCATACGATGCATGGCGCAACGCGACTGCATATAGAAATGCTCATTATAGATGTCATATATATCACGTACATAATTCTTAGTTGTCTGATTTTAGCCTATAGGGTTTGTTGGTGCTCATTTTTCCAAAAATAACCATACGAGTATACGTATCTGTGTCTGCCCTAGATGTGTTTCAAAGAGAGCGCAGGGCAAAGCGTCGACTGAGCCGAATAACGTGTACCCTAAGCTATGCCAGAAGACCTCGGCCGACGTTCGGTTTATTTAGAGTCGAGGCTGGTCAAACTTGTTGGCTAACCGCATTCGAGGACTGTGGGGAGAAGGGGACCGTTAAAATGGCTAGTACTTGGCATACTCTAACGATTGCTGCTGCTCAGCCAGTTATTAAATATCAGCAGTCATCAACGAGACCGCACATACGCAATACACGCGTACGTCTATTGCCGCCCTTCTGTCTAGCAACAGCGCGATGGCTAGCAGCGTATTAGTTGGTGCCTTCCAAAGCTGTTGTCTGTTTGCTTCACTCTATTACCGATATTCTCATCATCGCTACTATAACTCTCTAAGGTAATCCTGATCGCTTCTCCGCGCAGATGTTTTGCTAGTTATGGAGCAGAAGTTATCTTTGCAGCTCGTGCTTAGCAAAGTATTCGCCTGCTTAAAATCTATGTTGGTATGCATTTACGGCAAACAGTAATAACGGCAGCAGCGAGGCAGTGTTCCAGCGAGAATGCTCCTGTCGCTAACGTCGTTGGCAGCATCTATCCAAAAAGCCGACGTTTGGCTATGCGGCTGCCTGATACTAGCCTGTATAGCGAGCTATACTACTGGCATTTCTGCTATTGCTACCAGCGACTATGCAGGTTGCTCCGTTTGCACCGTAAAGGCACAGCTACTTCATACTTTGCCGGCGAGGGTAGCGGGCGTCGTTCACCGTCTTAACGCCCCCCAGTCCATAAGCGACTCTACGTGCTGCTGTCGTCGACGGGAACAAGCGCAATCGCGTAGTGAAGCTTGCTGGTATCTATGTGCACAAGCCGTCCGCTTGGTGACCCGGTCATCCGCCCATTCGGTCCTATGCTTTGGCTGGGTATGATGATCGCTGCCATTGCTCCCTTTTCCCCCGTGCCGCTCATGTCGTCGCATGTGAGCAGCCCCACTGTCATGACGACGAGCGGAACCCGAAGCCGGAATACGGCAGGTGGTGTGGTGCTGGGCTAAGAGCATCAAACACGACAGCAATAGCTGCAACAGCAACCACAACAACGCGATAACGTCATGGTAACGTAACATGGCAACCAAGCGATTTACCGACCGACCAACAAAGCGAATGCAGTTACGGGCTGCGCCAGTGGCGGCCATAAGAGAAGAAATAAGTGGTTATTGCAGAAGTAGCAGCGATACAAGCAGTCCAGTAGTTGGGTACAAACTTAAAAGAAACAACAGAAGTAAGTAGTGGATGAATGACGGCACGCGTCGCAGGTCTTCGTTGGTATCAGCGCTAAAGCCAGCCAGGGCCCGTCAAAGTTAGCCACACCAAGCAGCGATGGTTGAAGGAAGGGATTGGTTGGCGTAACGAAACGGGTCAGATGGCGATATTATGAGAAGGACGACGAATGAGATTTTATGGTAGACACCGCGATGACGAGAAGAAGCACCTATATTATGGTATCATATAAGGCACCCTAGAAGCGGCAGTGAAGGCATCGCTTCAAGCAGACGGAACCACGACAGCGTAGAAACAACTGACAGCTTCACGACGGTTGTACAGACTGCATATGAAATGGTAACAATCTGTGGGAGAGCAGGTAGTCCGAGGAATGAATCATTTGCAGCGTTTAGTGCTAACTTATAACTTGTTGTACTAACTAGCATCAAACGTTATTCGACAGAATGGTCTATGAGGAGTATTTTGCAGTAAACTTATTTGAAGCAGATAAGACATTTGTCGTTAGCTTCAGCTGCCGCTGACATCAATTCCTATGATGTGTATATATGCTCTAAAATGAAAATTCCTGATCTGTATTAGCCGTGAACTGGGTGCGCTATGCAGAGATGAATATAAGTTGATCGTTATTGCTGACGTGTTCTAATATTTAGCACAGATCTCATTGGATTCTAGGGACAGCAAAGAAATAAAAACTTTGCATATTTGTATAATATGTACGTGTTGATCTATACATCTAACTGTTTATGAGCGTAGTAGTTCTAGGCTAGATGAACGCAAATGGGAACGTTGTTGGTCACACGAATTACGCGATGGTATGGTACGCAGTTTTACCGGTGAAATAACGATTTCGTAGAACATTCCATGAAGTAAAATATCATAGGTGGGTAAACGTGTGTTACCAGTACATGCCCGCGTTAGTGCTAACCTTTAAATGAGGTAACAGGTTCCAAGTTTTTCCTAGAAGTATTCGAGCATTCGTTATGAGGAGTAGACAATTTTTGCTAGCTTTAGAATATTACTGAAGGTGAAAATCATTTGAATCCCTGAAGTATTGTCTGTACGTGCAGAAGATGTTTTCGTTCACGTTTATGCTAACATTTTATTGTCTTTTTTGTTTTTCAGAGGTGCGCACGGAGGGGTCTTACGCAATTCGCGCTCACACGAATCATTATTGGCCTCGATTCAGGGCAGTGTTGCCCCGGTACCGAACGTCGATTTGTGCCTTCACCCATCGGCTCCGGCTCAGTCGGCAACCCTTGCGCACACTCCAAAAGGTCTTCATCACACCACCTCAGGGTCACATCATCATACGCCGACACCACTGGCCCACCAGAAGCTGCTGCTTCAGCAGCAACAGCACAGTCAACTTCACAATAGCAGCGCTACTCATGGTGGCCACGGGGTCCAATCGCAAGCTCCCGGCTTAGGTCATATGACAACGGTGGTTCACGCAGTCGACCCATCGTTACTCAAAGGAGAACACCACAAGCACTGCTTTGAGCTGGGCAGTCGCCTATATTCTTGCAGGTATGCATTTGTCTGCCACGTTATTGACGGCGTATTGTTAACATGCGGCTTAGGCATCGCAATAGAGATCAGTTCAAAGTCTCTCTCCTTCATATAACTACGGATTATGTACGGTTTGGATTAGGGCACAGCAATATTTTACTCAGATGTCATTGCATTGAAAAATTCTATAAATACTATATATCTTCTATTTAACTCAGATAAATAAAATTTGCGAAGAAGGGCGAAAATGTGTTGTAATATATTCAAATGTCAGTTTTCTATTCCCGACTAACAATTATGCGAAAGGCTTGAGCATTATAAAAAATAGATACCCTAGCTTTCGGTTGGCCTGTCTTTTCGCAACGTAACTGTAAGCCGTTGAATGTAAATGCGAGATACATTATGTATTTTTCAGGCATAAAATCGGTTTTTGTTTTCCTTCGTCTTTTTGAGTTGTCCTGTAAAAATATGGTCAACTATGCACATTCGTTCTTGCTTATGGTACACCTCGCAGATTAATCAACGGTATCCCGCTATATAAGATCATGGATCTGCTGCGGTGATCACATCATAATCTGTATCTATAGAAAGTGCAAATGGCATTTACGCTACGTGTATTTTTACGTCGAGTTCCGAAGAAACGAGTGGATGGGCGGGTGTTTGTTTTAATATCAACCTGAAATATGTACCGCTTGTCATCGTATGCAGATCGTCATGCCGAGAGGACACTGTCATAACTTGTCACATATGCGGTTTGCGATGGCAAAATTATGTTATATTACATAAACAGACCAGATCAAAGCGATTGAGTCTGCGCGCTATTGAAACGTTATTATTCGTTCAATAAAATTTTGCATTTGTGACCCGCTATGGTAATTTGCGAGAGATTATATATGATACCCGCTAATTTGACGGCCCTATCGTATATAATCTCTCGCCAGCGAATCTATATGAGTAATATCAGTGTGCAATTCTGCCCATATTTTCATATCTGTGATTAATAATTTGGCCATTGGTATTTATAGTCTGCGACTTTTTTTCAAGCGGGGACCTGCAGCTACTTGGCATTAAAGTACTACATTGAAACAGATTTATTCAATGTAACCTTTTCACTGGTACTTTTTATTGCGCGCTCAGCTATATAAGACGTCAAGTACTATATAGATGTGATGGTCAGTAGGAAAAACGAATGTTTGCTGCTCTGTGATATGGATATTTTTGTCAATGCCCACATTGGATCGATATCAAGCGCCGATATTAAATCTACCTATGATAAATATACATGCATATGTACCGATTTGCCTACAAAAACGGGCGATAGAATAACAGGAGTCAACGATTCTCTCATCCCCTCGCTGGCCGTTCGCAGATGGTCTCGGACCCGATTCCATGCTGGCATCGAAACAGACGACAATATTTCGCATTATTACTATTAGTCCGTTGGCGCACTGCTACGGGATCATGTTGACTTGGGATAGGATTTGAAAGAATGAGTCAGATATCCAAGCGTCTAGGTGATCCTCACCAGAACCACCTGGACATGTTTGGTCTATTAGGACATTGTTCTACACGAAAACAAGACTTTCCGGAGATTAAGGGTCACAGGAAAATCCAAGTGGATAACTGGAGTAACCTAGTTAATGCTGGCGCGGTGTCGGTGTCTCAAAGATGCAATCGATTACCCGGCTTTTGTAACAATGGTTTCGTTCCTCTTTGGCTCGTTCCTTTTTGGCTTCGAAGCGGCAACAGCTTGGTCTTTCAGGGTAGTTATTATGACTACATCTGTGTCGTATGATAGCGTACGGATCTGTACTTTGCAATTATTTCTGCTTTTTGCTTAGCAACTCGGGACGACTCTGTTTGGCCGCCTATGTGTTTCAGTATGGCAGTAGGGCAAGTTGAGGTGGTGTGTGATCTGAACGAGTCTCAAGTTGTTGACCTAATGTTAGTTAACGGTACTGCAGTTCCTGCAACGTGGTACATTGGCCTTGTTACACAAACGAGCTCACGTCGACGATATTTTTCCAACCGTTTAGTGTTTATCTTTATATAAATTTGTATATATATATATATATATATATATATTTTTTTTTTTTTTTTATAATTTTCTTATTTTATTATTATTTATATTAGTTGTTCAGTGCACCTTCGCAATGAGATGATGAAGGATCGTTCGAATTTTCGATCCGGCATTCACCAAGGAAACTAACTTAAGGATGAAATTAGTTTTATCTTGGTAGCATATCGCGAACTTCTATATCATCATGCAGCACCAACTTACCGAATAAGAAATTTCTGAGATCACTCTAATTTACATATTTGAGATTGGCAACATGAAATAGGTCGATTGCAGTGCTACCATTGTCTTATTTCCGTAAAAGTCGGTTCCATTGTTAGTGTTAACACCTGTGCTCACTGATGCATTACAAATCCATAGTAAATTTTCACACAGCTCATGTTCCACTGCCTGCGATATCAAAATGCCTAGTCCACTAATTTCTAGGTCGTTTGGGTCATTTCAGTACACGAGAAGAGCGGGATAAGTGGGTACGCTATTTGGTCAACGCGAGGATGCCTGGCGAACAGCGTCTAGACGCGAGCGGTGAAATGCGCTCGAAGCCACGTACAGAGAATTTTCTTCAGGTGACTGTTTTTGAAGCGAAAGGCATTCCCAACAAGAAGAAGTATCTGGCTGAGCTGAACATTGGCAGCAAATTGCGGGCTGAAACTTGTCCCAAACAGAAACTGGACATGTGTTTTTGGGGTGAAAACTTTGAGTTTGATCATCTGCCATTGGTGAAAGAAACGCTAACCGTGTCCCTGTATCGAGAAGTTGACAAACGCAAAAAGAGACATCTGTTGGGATCGGTTAAAATTCCGCTCAAGGCTACCACAAACACTACACCGACGCATGTTGAAAGCTGGTATGTACTACAGGTCATGTTCTCTCTGATATGCGGATAATCTTATTACGCCAATGTTAAATAAGATTGATTCAACACATTTATGCGCCTACAGCATCTTCCATGGCCATATATATAGGAAATGCTATAGGCATGGCATATATATATATATATTAATGTTTTTTACTTACACTGATATGAACGTTGGTGCAACGGATATTGGGAACATTTGCGCGGCATTTTTCACGAAAAGAATCCGTAAGCCTAGAAACCGTAGAAGACCTAAACGATATACCTGAAGTCATTTACAAACATAGTTAAATTGTAATGATGCTAATAACGTTGCTATAGATACCGAAGTGTAGTTTGTAATCTTAGCAACCAGTTATACGTTACACACAAGCACTAACCAGTGCCTAGGAAAAGCACATTGGAAATTGGAAGGCCAACTGAAAATATGGTGTGCGTGGTTTCAGGTACCAGTTAGAACCAAATAATGCTACGATGGGCAGTAATCCACCCCCGATGGCCATTCGGGTGCGAACAAAATTCCAGTCCCTCGAGGTATTCCCCATGGATTGCTATGCAGATTTTTTCGGTTACTTGCAGAGCGAATACCCAACGCTATGTGAGCTCCTCGAGCCGTCGGTGTCTGTGAAGACAAAAGAGGAGGTCGCCACTGCCCTTGTGCACATTATGCAGAAGCAGGGACTCGCTACCGAGTTCGTCACTGAGCTAGTCATGAATGATGTGCAAAAAATTGGTGCGTACTTATTGAGTGGCAAGCCAGTTTGGTTTACAATCGTATGTACTGATTATTTTTACTTTCACTCAATTTTTGTCATTTGGTCGTTTCTTGTATTTAAGCTGCTCGGTAGAGCATCCGTTTGGTCCTGTCAAGAGAGCCTCCATAACTATTCATTATGTATCGTATTTGGCTCCCTTTACAATTGAATTGTTCCATCTTTCGTGGTTTACAGAGGATGAACAGCTTACGTTTCGTGGTAATAGCGTCGCGACAAAAACGATGGAAGCATACATGAAACTGATGGGAGGCCAGTTCTACCTGCAAGAAACACTTCGCGGAGCCATCGAACTCCTCTTAGCTGCCAGCGACGACTGCGAGGTCGATCCCTCGAAGGTGGCCAATCATCAAACCTTGCTACAGCACCAGCTCACATTAAAAAAGCACGTTGACCTTGTGTGGAGACGTATCCGAAGTTCCGCCGCGTATTTTCCGGCTGAGCTTAGGCTAGTGTTTGGCATCTTAAGGGACAGACTGCGCAGACGACAAGAACTCTATTACAACCTCTTATCAGCATCGATCTTTTTACGCTTCCTTTGTCCGGCTATTCTGTCTCCGTCACTTTTCAAACTATGCCAGGAGTATCCCGGGGAGCGAGTTTCACGAAACCTAACGCTCATCGCAAAAACGATACAGACCTTAGCAAATTTTGCTCAGTTCGGTGGCAAAGAACACTATATGGAGTTTATGAATGACTTTATCCACGTAGAAATGCAGAACATGCGCGAATTTCTAGCCGAGATCTCGTCAGGCCCACCAGTGGCATCTACTCGCGGATTGCTATCTGATGACTCACTCATCGATTGTCCGCGACATCTAGCTCAGCTGCATGTTCTCCTGAAGGATGCGTTTCCAGCTGTCTCGAAAAGTCAGGCGACAAAAACGAATGTCGATAAACTCATGCAGGCGCTTAACAGCGTTCAGTATCCGAAGCCGCCAAAAACGGCGCCGCAGGCTGCACCTGGTGGCCACGTGCACGGGGCACTGGCAGCACGCGACCTATCAACATGTGACGACTACGTCCTTTTAAGCGCCCTTGGAGCACATGGCGGAAAGCAAACGTCGACACCAATATCATACGCCACTCATCCGACGGCGCTGTTCTCTAACGGCTTTACTGACAACAACAATTGGTACGCTAGTAGTCTGTACTACATTGACAAACTACAGTAAGGTTTGGCTATTGACGTAAAAATAAAGCACCGACATACTAATAATACACCTGTCCAATGTGATCTAAATCTGACAAATCCTTGCAAAGTTATGACACTCTGGATGTATAAATATATATTTCAGATCATAATGTATTTCAACTAGTCACGTTGCGCTGCACATATGCAGCAACAGTTAAAAGTAATTACTATTGAATTTTAAGTACTCGGCGCGAGCTACCAGGGTAAATGAGCGCATTAGATAGTCTGGGTAACTCCTGGAGCTCGCTTATTATCGACCAATTAATCCCGGTTCCCATATGATTTTCGCGAGTCTGTCCTTCATAATTCTTGCACTTGTATTTTCATTGTTTCAATCCTGTCTTGATTTAAATGCGCAGTAGCGGCGTAAGCAGTTGTGACGCTTCAACCTCCTCGTGCGAAGATACCGACCTTGAGATCACCTCGACGATCACGTCTTCGTCAACGCAAAACAAAGACGTGGCCACGTCGACAGGCACGGCACTCAGCCCCATGTCAGCAATAAGGGATCAGGGCGTTGGTGAAGCTTTCTTCGATCACGAATGTCACCTCAAGGAGATTCTTGCCGACCTGCATGAGAAGCTCAGTCAGGCCGAGATGAAACTCGAGGCACAGAAACGTCGGGCCGAAGAAGGCGAAGAGCGTCTCAGAAGGCAGAAAGAGGAAAAGGTAAGACGAACGAACACTGCCAAAGGATGAACGACTACTCAGCAATTAGCGAAAATGCTATGAAAGGCTTACTAGACGAATGAAATTACAAACAAGCGTCCCCTTCCCACACAGATCGGAAGGTGACCATTTTTGGATCTTCTGCTCGGAAATCATTTGTTCATCAGTTAATCTAACAACCCAGATGGCAACATAAGTATATGTAGATTGCTAGTAAAGACGGGTAGCAACGTAGGCAGTGCTAGACTAAGCTAACCATAACGACGAGCGGTATGCGACATGGGCACAGTGATCCCGTGTAGATAGAGCGTGTGAACGACGATCGTTACCTTAAACGTATTATTCATAGCGGTTACTTTAACTGTCGTTGCTATCGACATGGCTTCTACTTTTGTCACGCTGAAAACTGCTGATGCTCGAACCGCTAATGGTGTCATTAGATATCATCGTTGTCATCTCCTAAGAGCGAACAGGAGCAAGACGAGACAGCAGCTGTTCTTGGGGGGCTAGGCTTAGGGAAATTGAACAACAGTCATAGGTGGCGAATAAGAAAGGGAACATAGTCAATTTCCTCATTCTAAAACGGATTCAAAACAAAGCTGAGAACTGAAGATGGCTTGCAATCAAGTGACGATCAAGGCTCAGACATGCCTGGGGCTATCGTAGTCTAATCCTTTCTGTCGTCAATGGCCTGACTTGGGTTTCAGATGCAAACGCAGTGGGACCTCGTTAACTTGTATGTGAAGGAAGCTCAAAATGCCTCTGAAGCAAACGGCAAGGCACCATTAGTGAGAGACTACGAACAGACTTCTTCTGCCTCCCCCGATGTATTGTGATACAACACTACACTAATGTAAGAAAATGAGGGAGCGAGACAATGAGAAAGAAAGACATACAGAGAAACATGACCAAAGCAATAAACAAAAAAGTGACAGGTCAGCACCTGCCAGAAATCTTATGTGGAACGGCTGGCTGAGCTCACCGCAACAGTGATAACAACTATCATCTGTACACCGACAACAACAACAACAGCCATAGTCACAGGCAGATGGGTGGCGATCGGAGTCGCTCCGTGCGCACAAGTGAGTCTATACGAATCAGCGGCGAAAGCAAGACTTATAGGAGATATTAGAGAGATTTGATTGGACAGCGCGTAGCAACGAATTATTGTGATAGTGCACGAAGCACAGAAGCGGGAAAAGTAGTCTGAAGAAAAGAAACTGCTTGAGATGGGTAACCTAGTTGGTAATTCGGCATCAAGAGGCTTTTTCCGGTGCACTTAATCTTCAGTTAGCGACTGGCGCTATCGTAGTCGTTGCGTGGGTAAAAATAATATACGTTACGCATATGTTTGCTCGACACCTTGATGAAGCTGAATGCAATGAGGGGTAGACCTTGGTAAAGGATAGTGCGCGATATTGGCCGAAAAAGGGTCCCAGCAATATGATGAAGTTCCGATCACACTGTACATCGCTTACTGGATTCCACCTCATTAATGTCTAGCTACATCTGGATCAGTGCACTGTCATAATACGAACTGATAAAGATACGAACTATCAACTGTCACAACTTCCTCTGTCTAATATGTCCTACCAATATCCAACATTCAACTCGTGGACCCAGATGGCTTCCTTCGTCCATTATCTATACGTAGCAGCGTGTCTTCTCGTTCGATATCTCATTCATATTCCCTCCTACCTCTAACCCAACCTCACCCATCGTTCTACGTCCTGAATGATAACCTGCAGAACTCTTACTTACTGGCCTGACTATTTCTCGGCACGGAAACCGAATACAAAGCACAACTTTTCCATAACAGGTACCTCCGTACCGAGTTTCAGTGGGTGCCAACCGTGTCTTCTGCGTTACATTTTATTACAGAAAACTCATTCGGCCCCTTTAAAAAGGTGCTAAGGAAATTTGGATAGGCATAGGGAAGAGGTGTATTCTATAAATATACTTCTATAGTTCATTTTCGTTGTTACTGAAAACAAATTGAATCGTGACTTGTACAGTCGCTTGCCTGGCGAGTTGTTTAAGTTCCATATGCACATGAAAGATTACACAGGAAAAAAGGCCTGTTCATAAAAGGGCAATAGTGTATCCTTCTGCTGAGACTTATACATTCGTCTTATTTTACAGTTGTGTGATTACGTCCTTTTTTGTCACTTGTAAATAGGTCCAGCCAATATTTTGCTACAGAATCTATTTCAGTGACACGGTATCAGTCGCTGCTGTTCTAAACATTTCTATTTATAATTATAAGGAAAAATATAGTTCAGCAACATCAATATCAGTATCTTGCCATCAACCGAATTTTATATCTGTTTACCTCCGTTGTAATTCTGGTCTCTTCACCCTTCATCCTCTTCCGTCTGTTTTAAACCTGCCACGATTACTTCAACTGAAGTGATTAACAACTACTTGAATACATAGAAAGAATCATAGACGATGCAACAGTGTGTTTAAGCCCGTCTTCTTCAAATTATACTTCAATTATAGTTTCCATACTACCTATATTTTCTACCCTATATCGAGGTCTATCGCTCTGTACAGCTTTTCCATTGAAACCATTGTTTTATTAGTACTTTTATTTGCCGTCCGCTTCTTCCCTTCTAGATATATAAATGGCGCCTGGTGTCGAAAATCTGTGCTACTTTAGGTACATACATCTTTCCACCGTTCATATTCGTGCACAGTTTTAAGCTATTTGTGTAACCTCAATGTATACATGCTAGGTATAATTAGATAGAGGTCATAGAACACGCTGGGTATACGTCAGTGTTCATAACGTACTACAGTATTAGCTGACTCCGTCATCGGAGCTTCAACAGTATCCTGTGTGTCCTTTTTCGCTTTGGACACCTAAAGCTAACCAAGGTATCTGTTTTTTCTTGCCCTCTTTTTATGGCAATTTGCCTTTATGCTATTGCCTAAGCAGGACGAACAAATGAAGTCTATCATTACGCGACTCATCACCGTCGAGGACGAACTTCGCAAGGAGAAACATGAAATGCAACGCGAGATGGCACAGGTGATTGCAGCCAAGCAGCAGATGATCGATGAGCGTGAATCGAAAATTCTTAATTTGGACGCTACTAATCAGCGATTACTGAGCGCCTTAAGTCAACTGCGGGAGAAGTACGACACATCGCTGAGCCCTGGTAGCAGCGCGTCGACAGCAGGAACAAGCAACGGTTCCATACAGACATCGGGTGGAAGCCCTAACGGGAACCAGTTAAGCGGCGGTGGTAGTCCGATTCGAGCAGCACAATTAATTGAAACCGCAGTTCAAACAGCCAGTCAATATAAAAGCAGTAGCTGCTAACTGTCACAACTAGAAAAATGAAAATATGGCGTATAAATGGTCCGTGTGTGTACGCTTGAAAGAGTGATGTGGAGGCGCTAGCGTCGGCCCATGAATTAAAAGAACGAACATTCGCGAATGGTTGGTGAGAAAGGGGGGAGGGAAGAGGGAGAGTGAAAAAATTATTAAATAATAGAGTTTTGTGCTAGAAGTAGGTGGAATAATAGATTGATCGGAGCTCACTAGTCCATTCAAATGTAGTGTGAAGAAAGACATTAGAACAAAGCAATGAATGGTGTCATAAAATCCGTGTTAGCTATGCCTTCAGCAAAACTTTCGAGTAAATCATTAAAATGCAGCAAGCGCACATAAAAATAAAAGCAAGTTAATATTAAGCAAGCGAACAATACGATCCTTTGGTTAGACGTCGAAAATCGTACGCTCTTGAGATCAGCTAGCTAACAGAAGAATATTCGAGCAGAAAATGGGTGAAGATAATAATGAACACTGGGACAGCTTGCAAGATGATCCAATGATTCCACTTTGTACAAAGTTATTTTGCGTCGGCCGCCAAGAGGCAGCGCGAGAAGGACGATCTTAAAGAGAGACGTTTGCGTACCGACCCCTTTTATTGTTGTTCCCACGCCGAAACGTTACGGGTGGCGTAATGCCCGGCGGCAACAGTGAAGCGTGTAATATGCTTCGATTGTGAAGTGGTCCGTGAACGTCGAAGCAGAACGGAATAAATCTAAGTGTTACTTAATTACACTGCGTTATCTCAAGCTTAGATGCGCGTCTTTGCGGCAGATCGCGAACGTGCTGATATAAAAATCCGACCTGAACACGACAGAAAAGTAATGTACGTTCATTATTATACCTAGAGCACAAAAATGGTGAATCTTCGTGGTTTTTTTTGTTTGCCTGTGAACCCAATGATAAAGGACAGCCTGCAGCCACTCTATAAGCAGCATTCGAAGCGGTGTGTATGGCTTACAGCTGTGTATACATAGAAATTGTATATATAAGCATATATTTATATTGACTTATGCCAGGCGTATTCCACTGATTTGTAAAGGGATGAAGAATCGTCGATTTTTGAAGAGTGGTCGAGTAAAAAGGACCACAGTTCCGTCAATGTGTACAGAAATGTCAAATCTAACAATTAGAAAAACCGCTATCGAGAACCAACGACGGAACAGGTCCCGGTGGAGCGTTATGCTACAACAGATATGATAATTAGTCCAAGTCGCGTGTCACGAGTGGGTTGGTTCCACAAAAAATTACGAAAACGACATCGAGAACAGATCCTAAAAGCGAAGAATATTAACAACATAAAACGTGACAAACACGAATCAAGGATTACGACAGACGGAGATATATATGAAACAGAGACACACAGCGAATTATAGATAATATAATCAACCAAAGACGGCGATAATGTCTAATGTATGGTACGCAGCACATTCACTCAGTATATTTATGTTCATTGTAAATAAATACTTTTATCACCCGTAATTCAAGTGTACTCATTTCTTGTTCAGGGAAATAGACCGCTTGAAAAAGTACCAACTTTGTTTTTGTATTGCGGCAGAGTCGGTTATTAACTGAACATAAACTACGATGTAAAAGTCAATTTTTGATTATTTACAGCATTTTATATGTATCGATTCCAGCAGATGTTTTGACCTATTCCGATTGAGAACGTCTGGAGATACTGCTAAATATAGAACCTATATTGACCGGTTTTACTGAAGGCTTAGCTAAAACGAACGTCTTTATCTCGAAGCCGGATTTTCAGATACAACTTTCTTTCACGTCCTTTACCAGACGATAAGCCTCTGAGCTGTTCGCCTATGGCTTGATTGGCTTGAGAGCCAATCAGAGTAGCTTTAACTAGCGAGATACCAACGCGAGTTCATGAGAGCATTCTACGGAACAAGGACACCTGGCCCTGCGAACTTGACGTGAAGTTACGCATCTTAAACGCTACTTAGCATTGTCCGGAATAAACAATGGCTTATGCGTTTGGAGATAGGGTTCTAAGCAAACCTTATCATCTTCTTGTGCAAAGTGGATAGACGCGAAACAAAACACATAACTAGTCCCACTGATAAGCGGCATACTAGCCATAGTTCAATAATAGAATATCAATGGACGTAGCTGACGATGTGTTGTGTTAAATTTATCGCACCAGGCCCGTGTTGGTTACGGATCGAAGCATTTCAGCGATTGCGCCGGTGAAGTTTTCGAACCGCACCTTAAAGCAACTTTCTTATTTCCTGTGTAAAAAAACTTCATGTTCGTTGACAAAACAAGATTAAGTTCGCGCGTCATAACTCGCGCAGCGTTACGACGCTTAACGTCAAAAATCATATTATATCAATCGAGTATCGAAATTCTCACAACTAAGCATCTGGACCATGCGGAGGTTTTTTGTCATGAGTTGACGTTAATCCTCCGTATTGATAATACAAATATTATGATCCATATATGTATTGGGTAATCGCTTTATATAGCAATGCGTCGATTCATCTAGGGTGTATTACTTGAGCTTAGCATGTCGGTACATTGCAAAACAGCTTTGCCCCTATTGAAATAGGCAAGCCACCCCGAGAGATGTGTTTAGTGTTTCTTATATCAGCATATTCTTAATAATATCTAAACGAACGCATACAGTGACATCAAATAGAACAAGATGCCAAGAAGACGGCCACCAAAGGCGCTGGCAAATCAATCTCAGTATGCTCTTCGAATATCTACTGAGGCTACGTAAGAGTTAATGAAGACTGTGAAGTCGATTCTTCCAGGGCGACCAGTCAACACACTCTAGATCAGAACGAGTAGATGCGGAAAACGCACGTCATCCCTAAATAGCAGCGCAATCTAGACTCAGCCGAAAAGGTTCCTTTGTCAATCCGAGAACGCTTGCTACCACAGGTCGTAAGCTGGTCCGACGTAAGGAACTACACATTCGCCTTGTCTGTAGATCTCTCTTTCTGCGCTCTTCATGCCCAGCTACATCCATGCCCCACCTGTGTAATCTATACGACAGCGGTTCCAAAAGGCAGCATTCTCGCACTCTGAAGCCCTGAACCGTCCAATCCGCCAGTTTATGACTATGTTTATCCGGAAAGAATTGCCTGACGTGATATCGCTTATTAGCAGGATATCACAAATATGGCGATCGCGCCACCGAGTGAAGTCAAGGACGAACACCAATACGAACGAAGGGTTCGTCGACGGTACACAGTATCTTATTGAATCACATGGACTTGGAAACGTGCGCTGTCAATTTTTTAGGCTAGTATAAAATACGCTACGGACACTAAAAACTTTTAGAGAAAGAAAATAAACCCATAGCGTCCGACGTCCGAAGGAACTTAATAGTCAGCCTGCGCTTTTTACTTGAAGTGAACCGGGTCTCGCTGCAAAGTTAGCGTGCATAGGCTTTGGCCATAAGTGGCAATAATCATAACATAGAAGCTATTAAACGTCGTCTATAAAATGTATGCTGTCAAGTCATCTCCTTTGTCAATAGTACCAAATCTGCGTCTAGAATACCTTTCTGTTTATTAACACTAGAAACATCCGTATCAAGCGTAAGCGTTCGATGGAAGGGGCCGTTGCAATGTTTGATTCAAATATTTTTTCTGTGCGTGAAGCCGCAGTGCTGCCTTACAAATATACAGCGTAAGTTACTAGTCGTTCGAGCCGTATTTCCCTGAAACTCGATGGACTAGCTAGACGGTTACATGAATAAGCACCGCATTTGCGAGAGTAGTACGGGGCATTTGAAGGCTCGCTTGGACTAGACAAATGATACCTTAACGTTTATTCTCTTGCGACAGCGCTCATGGCAGAAAATGTCGTACTTCATCATTCGGACGGAAATTGCGTCAAAGAAAAACAGAAAATTACAGTAGCTTCCACTGTGCTGGATGTTTATTGCTACAAAATTTGCTATGGTCTCTTACGAGGCGTAATTCAACGGTGCGCGCCCAGATACATCTTATAATGCGTCTCTCTAGGAATGTAAATCTATTAATTTTATATACACACCCATAGATCCTAGAGAAAACACAGGGTTGTCTTACTCTAAAACTGTAAGAGTAGAAATAGTAATACAAATTCCGCAAAGGAAGCTCGAGAGAGTAACTGGAAAATGTAAAATTGCTATATACATTTCAAAGGGGCATCCATTATAACCAAATGAATGGAATTAGTTTAGAAATATTTACGTGGGCTAAAACCGTACGTTTCCGGAATCACTGCATTCATGTTTAAGTAGTTCCGATTGATGCGCGCTCACTACTGACGCGATAATTCCAGCCTATTTCTGTTATCATCATTCTTAGGTAAGGCACGTCGTTAGGTACTTCCATCGACTTGGAGAACAAAGGATGAACGCATACATATATGAATGGTATATATATTTCTGTAGTCAGATAGACGTGTCAAAACAAAAGCCTACATCTCCGATCTAAGCTTGAAATAGAACAAAGTCACCTAGCGCTCAACGGCACAACAGACGCTACCTGTGTATATATCTATGTACAGTACCTAGATATTTGCTTAAACATTAAAGTATTCTCATCGCTGGCAATAGCATTGCAACGATGATCGGCAGCCTTTCGAATTTCTCAGACCGAGAATGTGGTTTCGATTCGGCTGGCTCCTGTGAATTTCTAGCTTCAAATCATTATGATAACAAAAACGAGTTCTAAATAATGCCAAGACTATTTACATTTCTTAAAATTCTCTAAAGTCATGCTCCATTAGGGAATCGTTTTGCAAGCTTTAGAGAAGCAAAAAGTACCGACTTCAAGTGCGTGTCCAGATGTAACGAGTTATTAATACTTCATCAATTCATGATCTAGTATTATACACACTTGCAACTAAAAGTAGCTTGTTTACTATATGAGATGTTTGTCTGCAAAAAATCCGATTTAGGTCAAGATCGTGCAATGGGGAAGGATCTATTATTTATAATTATGAGGTAGAATCTCTTCCTTTCAATACCGTGTTTGCTTTATCTATATAAAGAGCTTAGATTCTCCTAAAATGCTGGTATGTGTGTTCGTTTTCTGGAACTTCAAGTCTAATGACTACGCGCCTAACTTAAAAACATTCCGACAATTCAGCAAACATTTATTCTAACTGACACGCCCTAAATATGCCGCTCACGTCATACGAAGACTCCATATTTTCCGAATCGGGGGGCGGGGGGTCAATAATCTGGTTGAAGGATTCGTTTGCGAGGGGTCGTTGATTCAGGCCACGCTAATGATATACGCAACATGACAGACGTGGCTGAATCAACGAAATGTATAGTCTTGAAAAACAATACCTAATGATATTATTTAACGAAGCATTAGACAATTTTGCTTATGATTTAGCAATTCAAGTGTACCACACAGCATAAAATGGTAGTGGTAATAGACCGATCAGCATAACAATTTTGCCACTGACACAAATGATACGCTCTCTGATCGACTAATGGCTTTGTTTCGTGGGCTATTCCTCGCTTACTGTTAGCCCGTACAGAACCCCTGTCTTACTTGCTAGCAACTGGTTTTCGAAGGCGCGAAGGCCACCAATACTTTACCCCCAAAAAAGTAACGAAAATAAGTACTGCGCTGATTATTATTTCATGCTCATGACAGCCTTGCCATATGCACGCTAACCAACTGCGTTTCCTCGTACGTGAAAGCATAAGGTACGCGAATGTCTACGTGTAGCTGTCGACAAATTCAAGTTGAGTCGGTATCTAGTGGTTATAGGCTTTGTAGTGTAACTCGAAATGCCAGCGTAGAAAAAGCGTACTTATCTAGCTTCATTCTATAGCTATATAAATAGCAATTAGTTCAATAGTTATTACTCCAAGTGCTCTGCAACTTTTTGACAGGCTCCCTAGCACTAGGTGGCCTCATTCTCATTTGGATGAGATTCTGCGCTAAGCTATACTTCAGAAAAGCCCCTTCTCGAACATCACGTTTTGTGGGTCCTTTACGTCTTGATAGCCGCGGTAACAGCTGCATATTTTGCGCCTACTTCAATGAACCATCGCGATCAATTGCTAGGAGCATGGATTGAATCCGTTAATAGTAAGTGAACACTACTTTTTAATTTGTACACATATAATTTTACTTTAGTTATTAACAGCACGCTTTCCTAGAATTTTCTGCTAAGTACAAGATGAAAATAGACGGTTATAGATATATTTATGTCATTGGAAATAGATGGTTTGATTATTTTGTGTTATCATTCCGCCTAAAATCTCGGTTAGCTGAATTACGTTCGAAGGTCGCTGGCGTACAATAATACGAAATGTCATTACATAAGCTCCTATTGGTACCTAGTTAATGCCTGTTGGGTACTTCGAGCTTTTTTCTAGATTTTGGTAAAAGATCATTACATCCACTTCGTAGTTAAATTAGGTCTGCACCTTTGGCCGTGGCACGTTTCGATATAGGTAAGTCATCTCTGAAAAAAATACATGTATAATACACAAATACGTGGCCAGAATGCGGATAATTGTATCTATATATCACGTCGTTCGCCTTTTGAAGGAATGATGTAAACACAGCAACGTACCGTATCTATTTTTCCCTGGCAACAATGAAGGCTAATTCGAATGTATAAGATGATCTAAAATTTCACGTTTAAGGTTGAAGTACTTGTGTTCAAATACGCTGCGTTTGTGTGTGTGCTCGCTGGTCACCATGATGGGTCGTCACGCCACGAAGAAATCGGCGGAAAAAGAAGGGAAAAAAAAAGACCAACAGTTACGAACCGGCAAAAGGAAGGAATACGATCTGAATAAAGATGGCTCAAAACAGAAGACTCCACAACCGCACAAGTCACGCGATTCGGACCCTATTACGAAGGTAAGAAGACCCTTAATCGTTCTATTCGGAAACTCGTTGGCATTGTTGTACATACAATACGTTCATATTTGTGTCTTCAGGTGTGTTGAACTAGAAGCGAAAGAACAAACATCGAGCTGTAAAAAATTCGTTTTTAATAAACTGTTCTTAGTTTCCTCAATACACCACCAAGAAACGGCTAACGGCTATATATATATATATATATACATATATATATATATATATATATTTAGTGGTTAGCATGTATGAAAACCAAAACGAAATACAGTTGATTTCGATTTTGATCTGTATTTAGGCGGATCCTCATGTTGATTTCATTCGCAAAATGCATGAACAGAACGCTTTATTTTAGGGATTTTTTAGTAGAATTTAGGATTATTTAGTAAGCCTGTTGATTAGTAACCGCATGCACAACCGATAAGCAGGACACACCATATTGTTTGCAGCCGTAGCCTTGGTCTATGCACTAATGATGGCTATGATGACCATTGGTAGCGAATGCTTTCTCAAGTAGTGTGCTATTTTAACTGATTGTTTGTTAAGTGTTATTTTGTTAGACGAGAATCTGTTACTGAAAAATTATTAAAATCAAGAAACTTGTTGTTTGTTTAGGTCCAACATATATTGAAAATCGTTTTGCCCCATAGACTTCGGCATTGCGATCCAGCATTCATCGGTGTGTTATGCGGGCTCTTTGTTTACATACTTTACTTATTTGGAATTGTTCACTGGCTGACCTCGTGGGTACCTCTTGTTGGTGACCTTCCTCTGCTTGTGGCCATAGCTGGGCTTCTGCGCTTTGGTACCGAGTACTTCCTCTCCATGAAGAACCTGTCTTCAGCGAAGAAGGCTGTATTGGTAACAGGCTGTGACTCTGGTTTCGGGCTGGTTCTTTGTAAACGCTTGGTTGCCACTGGGTTAGTATCTTTATAAAGGTAAATGGGAAATGTCCTTTGCTTGGACAGCTTTCTGTAATTTCGTTTTTGTAGTGGGGGGAGGGGGGAGGGGGCTGCTGTCGCATGGGCATAGTCAACTGGAAGAATTATCCGTTCTTTATGCACAACTTTTTTTATGCAGACGTCCTGCCGAGCTCAGATAACATTGGATGGATTTCCTGTGCAGTTTTTCAGTCTTCGCAGCATGTTCGGATCTCGATGGGGAAGGTGCCAAAGAGCTGCGGGGGCACCATTCAAAAAAGATTCGTGTAATTGAAATGGATGTTACCAGTGAAGAGAGCGTTAAAACTGCTGCGTTCCATGTTAAACGCTTTCTAGATCAGGTACGACTACCCGAACCAGATTTAGCGTTTGTTCTCCATAAAGAAATAAATCAACCCCATTAAAGTATTAGTGAACAAACTGTTTTTGACAAATTATTAGAAAAATGACGTTATGGTAACGACAATTGTCTAACAGTCAGCAACTGAAGACCATGGCCCATTTGGTAAAAGGCTTCGCCTCTGGTCGGTAATAACAAATGCAGGCGTTGGCCTCTTGGCACCATTCGAGGTAACGCCAATGCTGGAGATCGAAAACCTCTTTCAAGTAAACGTATTTGGCGTAGTGCGGACGGTTAAAGCATTCCTACCATTTCTAAGACGCTGCAACGGTGAGTGTCTAATCATTTTGAGCGTCGTTAATTTCCTCCGTATCCAATCTAAAAATCTACAATAGATAGGTCTACTTCAGGCATCAGATGGATTGAAATGTGCTGCTCCGTGTGTTTTTGTTGTATACGAGATCAATAATAGTAGTGATATGGTCTTCTGTGCAGCGCATAGGAACCTACAAATTCCATTTTAACTTTAATATGAAAACTTCGTTCCCTTGACTATTTACCGCGTTCTGTGTTCAACCTGTGTTGTTCTTTTGTGCTCAAAAGGACGTGTAATCGTTACATCGAGTCTGGCAGGTTCTATCCCAGTACCAAATCTAATTGCCTATTCAATGTCAAAGATGGCTGTTAAAGCATTTGCAATTGGCCTTCAACGAGAGCTACGACCTTTTAGAATTAGATGCATAACAATCGAGCCATTTTTCTACAGGTGAGACTTTCCCAAGATTAGTAGCAATCTTGACTCTTATATGGTATCCGCTGGTTATTTTATCCTTTAGAAATTTAGAGAAATTAGATATTTTGTACTCTTTGCAGCGTAGGTCCTGGTTTTTTTTTAAGGTCCAGTTTACATTTCGCGCGTGACTTATCGCATATATCGTAGCAAATGAAAGCTAATTGTAGGCGGTAATCTGGAATCCTGAAATTTAGCTCAAGGAAAGTTTCTTCTATAATTAGATCATTGCATGTATTCCAAGATTTTTAGCTGCTGAACATATATTGACACAGCGTTGCAATATGGATCTGGTTTAAAAGATCTTAGCTAGCAATCTCACTCTTGAAGAGCGCTAAACAACGCAAAATGTTGATTGCTCACTGCGTCATTTTACGTTTTGTTTGCATCTGCAAAATTTCTCCTATGAAACCAGAACTCGATTGATAGTGAGTCCAGAACAGTCATTAGGCGTAAAGGTGGGTGCGGTTGACGACACCGATCAACGGACAATCTATGCAGCATTTATTGAAGAGTGGGAACAGCAAAAAAAGATTATACAGAACCAGGCCGACGATATGGAGGCGCCTATGCGTGCGTTTGGCCACGCTTTGTGTTCCGTGCGACCTAAGCCATGCTATTACGTCATGTCGTCGATGTTGAGGATGTTGATCTATTTAGCTCCGCTCTTCGACGTCTCGTACACAGACTTTGTAATCGCGTTCAACAGGAATCCAGCCCAAACTATGGATGACATAATTAGTCTGGAGGACGATCGATCTAGTGAATCTCGTAAAATTCAGTTACAGGGCAATCGGAAAGTGGAAAAAGACAAAAAGACCAACAAATCATCAACAAAACCTAGTGCGCACTCCAAAAAGGGATCACCTGACTGCGGGGAAGCAACGCCCAGCGCCGACAGTTCGGGGAACTCGCCACAACCTGCTGCACAAAAAGAAGCGAACGTTTCTAGGAGGGCGCTGAAGAAAGATGACGAAGGGAGCCCGGGCGATAAACGTCCAAGCCAAAACGCTACTCCTGATAAGAAAAAATGATGCTGTATTATAACGTTATAAATTTAGAAAATTATATAGAATTTAAAAAATTGTAGGTGTCTATGTTACAATGAGATAGTTATGATGCACAGTAATGACTACTTGACGCATACGCAGATGTGCAATTATGCAATACAATTGCACAATTACACAATAAATAAAAACAAAAGCAGTGACATTTCTAGCTTACGGGTCGATCGATGTTTTAGGCGTTACGAAAATTTCGAAACAGAGAATTGTACAACATCCGTACCCTCGTAAGAATAAACCTTAACGACTCTAGTTCTTATACAGAACTTGTCCGCATAGAAGTAATACATCTTCAATGACAACTTAATTAGGTTTTATAACCGTGATAGAAATCAAGCCTATTTTTGAGTAAATCAAGCAACGTTAAAGCAATTCGCTGGCAAATATACGGAGACAAAATTAAGATTACGATATAGATATATAGGAATAATATCTTAATATAATAAAGGAATAATAATAAATAGATATATAGGAATAATATCTTAATATAATAAAGGAATAATAATAATAACATAGATACAGCAAATAGGAAAACGTGTTTTCGTAGCGACCAGCAAGTGGAAAGTTAAGGGAGAGGACTCTTAGGATTTGACTTTCAAGCTAAGTAGTACGCATCTCTCAGTCCCGCAAGTTTGTCAAAAGGTAAATCTGGTCAGTAATCTAAGTGAAAGCTAAGGTAGTCTAGTTTAGCTAAGGTAGTAGAAATGATCTGGATCTTGAACAATTTTTTATAGCAATATTTACATGGTCATGTTGTACATAACGTGACATATAGGCTTAGCGAATTAAATATATCAACACTGGTCTGTACAGAATGTTTCATATCGACAGCTCAGCGTCACTGCTTTGAACCACTATCTCGATAATTGTTTTAAAAGCTCATCAGTTAACAGTTACGGATGTGTCACCAGCATCGCGGAGACGACGTCATGGGACTTCCTTTAGATCTATTGGTCTTCGTCTGGATTCGGTTCGTTAAGGACGTGAAACGGGGGTTAGGGAGTGCTTCTATTCTTCAATAAGATGCAAAAGTGATGAGGTGATGCGTACGTATACAAGTAGCAATAGTGAATACCCATCAGTAGCTTCTGAGTCGTATTTTTTCCTAACCGGGGCATATCGAGTGGTATACTGGCCATCTCAAATTCTATAAAACTAACGGTATATAATGTCTGACTGTTATTTCATTTTGATGCTTTTAGAGTCATGTCCATTAAAGGCATACGGAATCTACATACAGTATCACGTATCGTGCCTTCTGACGTAACACACACACACACACACACACACACAAAAGTACCGTAATCAGCCTCGAAAAACGGCAAAAAAGATAACAACCACAGCGACACCGATATCAAAACAACAGCAATGTCGATCGGGTTAAATCATTGAGTGTTTACGAAATACAACGGATTCAAGCAAAATTGCATGCAAATATTGTCTGACCCAACGTCGTTCAATCTTGTCTGAAATGTCGACCAAAGCGAACGTGTGTACTTATCAGTACAATGACAACAACAAAAGTAGCAGCGAAGCCATAGAGCAATCGCATGTTCTCTAACAATGGCGAGTGGGCACTGCATCTGCGGCTCATTGTCAACTGAGCGAAAGAGAGTTGAATCTTGATATCAACAAAGCTTGACTCGTTGACGAATGAAAACGAACGACTCGAGAATCTTCCTCTGTCCGTTAGTCCGAACTCGAATGAGGAAACGATCCGTGTAAAACGCAGTGGTCAGTGGCCGTTAAACGAGGAAAACGCCGGTGGATCGTGTATCCGTGAATGAGCTAGGACGTACATACATACATATATATATATATATATATATCGTTTAGCTAGCGGACAATGGCGGGCGTTTGTTATTTTTCTATTTAGCAAAACAACAGACTGAGGAATCATTTCTGCATTCAATACGACCAGCTTAGCAGACTCTTTTGGCCTATTTGTGACAGAAACATTAAATAAATTAAAAAAAAAAAAACATCATAGAAATATTAAAAGGCAGAAAAACATTATTACGCACGATATACGGACCTCAAACGAGTAAATAATGTATGAAATATGCCATGCATGTGTTATATAAAACGGCATCAAGTTCAACGTATCATTCGCTTCTGAGTATACGGAACTAGATCCATTGTTATAAAGATGTAGTGCACCGCATAACAATCGGTAATGTTTCAGATAGTCCTTCGTTAGGCGAGGCGCAATGAAGGACTTATCTTAGAACGCTTTACAAAATCGATAATCGAACAAACGTAGAATGCCGATATAAACAGTTGTACTAACTGTGTGTATGGGCACTCGTAGTAACTGAGCCGATTCAAGTGGAAAAGCTAACCCAGAATTATACTTTAAGAAACATCGTTCATCGGCATGCCAGACGCACGATCGTGTGTACTTATGCACGTGTCTTCTAAGGCTATTTAATCGACTAATGGGCATATTGCCCTTACGTCCAGTAGATCGAACAAGTGATGTAGCACATGTCGCAAGAAGACAGGCCGCGAGCTGCTTGTGACGTGCTCAGTCGGCCGAAACGCTGCGATGAAGAATACAGTGAACGCCAGTTAGCGTGACTGTTCCATTCCTAGGCCGGTAAAATGCTAATGAGACCTCCTTAATAGTGCTTCAAGAAGCTTTATTACACACAGATATAGACAATATATTGTCGGTGCAATTGTTGATTTATAGAGGAAGAATTCGAACGTCATCCATAGAAGGAAACTTCTATTAGACAGTTAACAGTAAGCCTGTCAGAGTTACCCCCGCTGTTCGCTTGACGATATCGAGCAATATTATTGTAGACAGTATAACTACAGCTTTATATTGTCAACCTTCATAAGTTAATGGCGTATTATAAAATGTATTTAATGGATATCGTGGCAATGGCCCAAGGGGACTTCAGCCCTCCAGCGACATTTGTGATAATCATAATAATAAAAGCATTTCAATTATCTAACTAATTGGAAGCAAGTTTTTTTTCGGTGTATTTCTAAAGTTGATACTAAAACCAATAAGATCTAATACTATAATAATTACAAACAATAAAACGGCTTATCCAAATTTAGATTTAGTAATAAAGTTCGTCACTTAGCTCGTACTTCGTATTAAGTAAATTTATTGTTTGACCTTTCGAAGACGAAGAACGAATGTTTTGGAACAAATGAGTGGCAAACAGGGCTAAGTGCGATTCTTTTGTGTTAAGTAAATATTGTTGCAAATATGAGTGCTATTGTTAATTTATTGCTGCCGACGCTTTCAGCCACGTCATATGTTTGCCAAGTGGATCCGTAAACAAGTTAGGCTGGATATTACCACGGTTTATGGCGTTCAGGCTTGATCATTCTCGACCTGTGCTTGAAGTTCTATGCGTTTTTTCTGTTAAAAAATGTCTATAATCGATTTCTCAACTTTATTACATAGATCCATAAAGTAGAACGTTGTACTATTGTGACATCCTTGTCATAGCGTTTTTAACAAAGGGATTTTTTAACACTAAGTTGAACTCTTCAGCGCCAATATCCAAGTTCACGTTTAGCCGAGGTTGTTTTAACTGAAAATTGTTAAAAACTACGTAACCGTTTAATTGGTATAGCTATAATTTTTCTACAATTTTTTATATTTCTATAATCTTCAACAGCACTTTGCTATGATATATCCCCGAGCTATCGTTACTTGCATTTTTTCAGGTTGCTGTAGATAATCTACTTTGCATAGATATGAAAGTGAAGCACTTCAGATCTTAAATGATGACTCACGCCTCATTCGTATTTCTTTATAGTTGGTTTTATGCTCTTATTCCTAAGTTCGTAAACTTTGCCTTTGTATCTTAGCTAATCAACTACTCTAAAAGAAACCATTCTTTGTTGAAGCATCGCTTTTGATCTGTTACCCGTTGCTAGATAAAAAAAACAGACTATACGTTCCCAGAAACCTAGAACTCTGTCCCCTCCTTAAACACCTTAAGAAAATATACAAGATATAGGTGATCAAATATTTCCTTGTCTCGGGAATAAACCCCCTACACTCAGCCTCTTTCTTTCATTCTAGATAAAAGCTCACTTTTTGAGCAACTGTTTAATCTTTCTGTTCAGATAATATTAGGTAGGTATTCTAGGTGCGAATGCAGTGTTGCTCCTGTTTAATAAGTAAATAATAATAAACGCCTGTTAATAAAATGTATTTTCACTTCAGCATGATAAACGACAAAGTTTTGGGCTTGTTGCACAGGGATCCACCGATCTTTGTAATGCCGCGTTTTAGCCACGCAGCGCATTGCTTGCGTCTTGATAGGAAAAAACGAAGACGGTGTATATGTATGTAATATCCTTGTATGTAATACTTTGTATGTAATATACATGTATGTAATATACTTGTATGTAATACTTTTTTGAGCCCAACTCCTACACTTCATTTTATTGTTGATTCTATCTTTTGCTTTCCAATTGTAACATTAGTTAGCAGGTTTCGAAATATAGTTGTATATAGATTTGCATTTAGCATATTTCTTTTTCACTGAATAAAATATATATATATTAATATCAGGCTGAAATGACCAGGGCAATTGAAAAAAAAAAACAAGATACAACAGAGTGTAAACGAGTTGATCTATATCTCAAAGCATAGAAAATATGGGTGTGTTTCTGAAGAATTAAAGTATCAACAATTATATTTCAAAACTTAAGGCGTGAGCTTAGGACCGGGTCAACTTACAACAAAAAGGGCGGAATCCAGGATCTTCGATATGCCAGCATCTCATGTGAAATCCGTAATAAGCCCGCCTGCTTAAAACTGAAGCTTACTCTAAACAAGCTAGTAAAAAACAAGTATCATCTTAGCATTAGTAAATAAAACAAATTACCACAAGGTAATGGTGTAACCAATTTGATATCGTGTGATACTGTGCCATTGACAATCGTTCACTTCGCTATGACTGTTTATGAAGTTCAACGTGATTAGTCTAACGTGAACTGTGTACGTGTTCACGACTTAATCTCTGTTAATGAAGTTCGTCGCACCATCGACCCGTTGAACTATACCGCCGTCAGCAAAAACACGACCTTCGAGGCTCTAACGTCCATCTTGGTCTGTGTACGCCAAGAGGATCTACACTACAAACTGCGTTCACCTGTAACAGTAAGATTGTAATAGGAAGTGACCATTACGTCTCATTATAGCCTGATCGTTACATCGACTATAGGCACTTCGGTACGAGGCTAATTTTATAGTACGGCGATATAGGCCGTATAAAGAACGCAACGCTTGATACTTTTAGAGAAGGTTGATAGCTTATATAATATACGCGCGGATTTACTTTACGCCTTAATGAAATTGTAAGTAATATAGGTCTTGGAAAATGCCTTTTTTTCCTAGAAAGCTTTTTTTGCGTTTTTT